TAATACTTGCCAATTCCGGTCGTCGACCACACCAGCAGCAACGATTTCTCAAACAGTATCTGCTTCAGATCTCGAGTTGTTAATTGAGAGGATTTTTCGCTTTCAGAAGAGATCCTTCCGACAAAACAGTTAACCAATCCACTTCAAACGATTCAAGCCACCATCGCCTAGCTGCAAACCATCGCCGACCCCGAGCTCCGGAAGCCACCAGCCCCTCACCACCTCGACCGACTCATTCTTGTTGGACGACTTGATTGACTCGTGTACCTGAGTTATTTTCCTGACTCGGTCTATTTTCTCGCGTGCATCAACATCATCTTTGCCGATAAAGCAGAGACGAGAAGCAAGCAAGAAGAAGAAAGAGAAGGTAATTGAAACCGCTGGTACCTGCGCCCAGCACTCTCCGTCAGCCACAACAGCCGACGACAGCACACACGCAATTCGGACCCGTTGAACGCTCCGGACCCGCCAAGCCACTGTGGAATTTTCCAGCGCCCAGGTCCTGCTAGGAAAACTGGAGAAAGTGGTCGTTTGGCACCCGAATTCCAGCTGGTGATCGACATTTCAGGCAACTGAACATTCTGGACCCCTGCCGGTCTCTCCGTCACCCCGCCCCTCCAAGTGGTCACCCCCTACGTTCCGCATTCGCACTCCCTGGTTTGTGGCACCTGCCGGCTCAGCCTCGTGCAGACTCTTGAACGTAACCCACGCTACACCCCTTCGCACGCCAGGTGTCTGATATATCAGCGCATTATTGGCTTTCGTGTATTCACTCCTGACACATTGTATCTCAAGTTGTGCACACACTCCCGTGCCCTTTTCTCCAAGTACTCCTCCACACTTGGACAAAAGCCTCCCGCCTCCCGTCACTTACACGGATCTTGCTGCTTAAATCCTCCAGCAAACCCCACACCCAATCCTCACAATCACACAAACCGCCCGTCATGGCTTCCAGGCAAATCTCCGTCGACGAGCTCAACAAGACCGCTCTCGAGCACTTCGTCTACCAGCCCGTCAACCGTGAGATGATCACCTATCTCGCCCAGGCCGCTACCAACGTCATCATCTGCGATCCCGTCCCTCCCAGGATCCAGCTTCCTCCCTCTCCTCCCGGTACCCCAGAGTCTGGAACCGAGGAGCCTCAACTGCCAACCCTCGAGGAGTTCATCACCCAGCTTGTTGTCTCCTCCAACGTTCAGGTCCCTACTCTCATGTCCAGTCTGGTCTATCTCCACCGCCTCAAGTCTAAGCTGCAGCCTCAGGCTCGAGGTATCCGATGCACTGCTCACCGCATCTTCCTTGCCGCTCTCATCCTGTCCGCAAAGTACCTCAACGACAGCTCCCCCAAGAACAAGCACTGGGCCAGCTACACCAACATGGCTACTGACTACTACCACTTTGGCTTCAACCGACAGGAGGTCAACACCATGGAGAAGCAGCTCCTCTTCCTCCTCGAATGGGACCTGAGGATCTCCGAGACGGACCTGTACCGTGAACTCGACTACTTCTTGTCCCCTCTGCGCCGCAAGATCAGCGACCGCCATGCTCGCAAGATGGCCGAGCGCGAGGACAAGCGCAGACAGGAGCTCCACGAGGCCGCTCGTCGGTACCCCAGCCCTCCTCGCTCGCGATATGGCAGTTCCATGCACTCCAGGTCTGCTAGCGGTGACTCCATGGGCGCACCACCCGATCTGGCTTACAGCAGCGATGCTAGCTCTTACGACTCTGATGACAATGACAACTCGTCTCGTGCTAGCTCTCCCGAGTACGACAGCCCTCCGGCCAGCTTCGACTCTCCAGTCGAGATTGTTATGGATTACGATGTGGGCAAGACCCAGGGCCACGAATCTGGTATGCTTCCTTATGAGATCACGGCCGACCAGTACCACCAAATGCAGAGTGAGGAGCAATCTAAGAAGCGTGCTCCCCCAGTTGTCAAGCGCAGCGTTCTCGGACGCATCTTGGGCACTGGCCGCTACTAGCCGATGAAATTCAAATTTCTTGACTAACTGCACACCTCATTTCTGTATTAAAGTACAAAAAAAGCAAGGCGTTTTTTTTGGGATATCCTGGTTTTTGTTAATAGCGCCGCCCCCCATTGAGGGATACGCGCGCAAGCTATCGTTTTTGTTTGGCATTTAAAGGTGTTTTTTACGTGTGGCTTTACCCCCCCTACAACTCTTGATACAATTTTTCCTTTGTCTACAAATGAGTGTCTACATGACCTGTACTTGCCGGATGTGGCGTTTAATTGTTTGGATACCAGCGAGACGGGCGCAAAGAAGCCTGATCTTGGTCAATTTGAGCATTGTTTAGCTTTCATTCTTGTGGATAGTACCAGCTACGAAGGGGGAGGTGTATTGATTGCACCTCCCAATGATAGAATGTGCAATGATTCCCGCATTAGACAGACGGCCTGAGACTTATCGGTCTCAAGTCACCCTCTGGGTTTTGATGAGAGATAGATTGTGATAATAATGCATTAACGGATTTGGTTACACCACTTTTTTTTTCTTTCATATTGCCGTGTCTTGCCCCTCCCTGTGACAATGATAATATGACAAGCGACAGCAAATGAGTTGATCACACCCCCCCTTGTGATGCTGGTAAAATGAACCCGAAGTGATTGACGACAACCCTTGAAACCTGACCCAGAGCCCTTTCATGCGTGCACACTCATAACCACGTCGACGCATGAACTGACCTTTCCAAACGGCGGGTACATGTGGGGGGTTCAGGTTCAAGGATCCGGCCACCGCGCCCAAGGTCACGTTTGAGGGTTGTTTGGGCCCCCCTGTGAGGCGAAAAGGTATCGGGCCGTGACGCAAGCAGTACGTGTCTCGCAGTTGATGGATTAATTGGGCACTAATAAGTCACCTTCATCTTTTTTCGATGGTAGGCAGCAGCATATGGTGTGTTTTACTCAGATGCATGTCTTACACCGAGGGTTGGGTGATGACGGGGTCTCGGATTTGAGACGTGGGGGGAAATGACCGCCTCAATTTTGGGGCTGGGGCGGTCTGATTTCTTCAACGATGGCGAGTTGTCAGATGAAATGAGGAAGAGTCAGGCTGAGATGGTGGTGGTCGATGTGAAGGTTGGACGGGGCAACCGGGAAGGGTTTCTGATCGGTGACACAACGCTAATTACCGGGAGATCGGGTGGCTGTCGGCGCCACACGGCTGAGAGAGGACGAGTGAGACGGGATGGGATTAAGTTGTGACTTTTGTTCCGTGTCGGCCGAGGTGGTTCTAGATTACACCGAGCATGGAAACATGATAGGTTATGTTGTTGTAGCTAGATATGTTCTGGTATGAAATGACTACTGGAGCCTATCATTCGAAACGGGGTGAAAGCATCACTTTTTATTATCAGTAGGATTTTGAATGTGATGAGCTGGTCTAGGGAAATCTAAGCCGATGTGTCACAGGGAAGGGTGAAATGATTATTTACGGAAGGGTTCGTATAATGAGGCTCAACGACTTGTCTTTACCGGTGAACCCAGGTGTGATTTGAGAGCTAGACAGACGGACAGGCGAGATGACTGTGCTATCGTTGTCGGCAAGATTAATGATTTATCGTTAGTGCCATCTTTCTATGTAAACACCTTTGGTGAAATGAATTTGTAGTTACTAGCTGAAATTGGACTTTGTTGTCTTGTTTAACCTGACCACTACAGTACATGACTTTAGGCATCTCTTGGCTCATGAATACTCCATCTATTGACACCGAAATACTCTAAGACAATTTTGAGCGGCTAGATCTGATGCCTAATCGGCATGGATAGTTGAGACTGGTAATGTGCATTGGACGGCTGCCTGAAGACAAATTTTGCCGCTTTCGTTTCTTGCTGCTCTCGCTAGGCTGCCTTACACGGCTCACAATGTCAGGTCAGCCAACTTCTAGCTAGCACCCCCAAGGATACTAAAATGGAGAGGCAAGGGACGCGCAATAGCTACGATAACTGGTGATGGGTTCTAAGCCGCTCTTTTCAGCTGAACCTGGGTTCGTTCCAGCTCAGCCCCATGGCCTCCAACACCGTCATCGCCGGCTCCTTTGCCGAGGACGCCTGGGTACGACGATACGCTGCGCCGTGAGCTGTCTGCCCTCGGTGGAGCTGCCTTGCCGGATACTCGCTCTCCGGATGCAAGATCATGGAGAAGTTGGGCAGTCCGATGGGAACTGCCTTGCGCATGCCAATTTTAGAAATTTAGCTGCTTAGCCTGTTGCGGCTACGTCATCGTCACCCGCGCAAGCTTCAGGGTCCACTCACTAAGCTACAGCCTTGTACAGCCCTAACTTGTTCCTGGCCAGGAACCGAGGGCGCCTTCCATCTGCCGACCACGTATCCGTAATCGCCTCCACATTCCCAGTCACCATCCGTGTCTGCTCAGCACCAGGCTCAGCCACGCCACTGCTGCGTCGTCAATTGGGCTTCGCCAGCGTGACTGGGTCGATGTCACCCCCCATGCTGACCTGATCCGAGAGATTAGATGCGTATAGCTTCCCGCAAGAGGCGTCTCGGGTCGTAGCATTCCCCCGCTACCCGAAGCACCGCCCGGGAGGGGCTCTCGGCCCCGGCTGTGATGACTGACTTCAAGGTTGCTGATAGCCTCCAAGTCCGCGGCTTTTCTGATTCCGGTGCCGTATTCGTGCATACGACGGTGTGGAAGGCTGATATTCTAATCATACCTAACTACGTAATCGCATTTGCATTGTTAGGTACACGCCGTCACGATGGAAGATGAATCTGTCCCCGATTAGGGAGATAATACCTAATCCTTCGGGCATTCGATCGGACCGCTTGTCACTCATACCATAGCTTTCCTTTGATCTTACCTGGGGATGATGGCTCGTGATGTATCTAGCGAGAGCAAAGTCAAGAAAACGCATTGTATTGTACACACTAACAAATTGCCTTTGCGAATAGATGCTCTCTAAGATATTGCCAACTGATTAAGAACTTGAACCTCCTGGTCGCGGCTATTTCCTGCTCTTGATTAGAGCTTCGATGGGATTGGCCACTCGTCTCGCGGTAGAGCACCTCCATCATCAACCCTCTCCCTGATCCTGGATTCAGTGTACTATTCTCTGTCAGTGTCATTGTCTTTTTCGTTCTCCAGGTCATGCTTACATTAGCCCCGGCACTCTGTAGGCTCAAGAATCTCGGTCGCGTAGCAAGCGGTCCGTCCGGGCGGCCATCATAAAAGCCGGTTTGTTTCCAGTCGCCGCGGCGAAGGGCATCTTCATCCTCGAAATCCTCGACGTACTCGTACCTTCGGCGCTCTTCCTCCCTGCGGATGGGAGCACGTCCATGATCAGATTCAACAGCGTGTCTCTCATACCGCTCGTCCCTGTGGATGGGAGGACGTCCATGGTCAGATTCAACAACGTGCCTCTCAAACCGCTCGTCACGGCGATCGTCACGGTGTCTGGCGTCGATGTGAACATCAACATGATTTGACGTATGTTTTACGCCTCGCCCATCTTCTCTCCGATGCTCCAAACTCCCTCTGCGATCCTCCGAGGCCTCTTTACTCTTCTTCGGAACCCCCTCGAACTCACCAAGCCAACCGATGACTTCCATGATCCCTTCTCTCGCCATCGCAAGCTCCATTTGCCTATGAGCAAGCTTCTCGCGCTCATGGAGCACCCACCAGAGCCTCGTGGGAAGACCCAACCACGGCCCCGCGTCAGCGACCTTGCTCGTGTACTTGGTCATCCCCTTGATGGCGTCGTGCACCCCGCGAATCAACGACTGAACATATAACGTCTTCTCCCTGTTCTCGCGCATCCCGTCCTGGACCGACTTCAGCGCCATGAGGCGCTCCGCTTCGGCGAGGTCCACCTTCACGCGCTCGACGAGACGAACGTACACTGCATTCTCGCTCCGCACCTCAAACAGCGTCTTGCACTTTACGAGGAATTCGGCGATTTTCCATGATGCGCCGATCGCAGCGGCGGCACCGCCGACAGTGAGGGCGCCGATTCCGAGGCTTTCGAGGACGGGGTGGTTGAAGCTGCCGCGCCCGTGCCCGTGCTTGTCGCCGTGCCGCGACATTGTTGATGGCGGGCCGTGGTGGTGGTGGTAGTATCGCCAAGCTCGAACTGATCTGGCGGGATCGGAAATAGGTCGTAATGCTGCGGAAGAAGGGCAGAAACATGCAACGCTGTTTAATCTAGTGGCTGGGCATGTCCAGCTCATCCGTGTTTGTTGACATCAGGGGCCCGCATATTGCGCTAGTCCTAATACAGACAATTACGAACCCACATCCCGAGGATCTGCGATGCCACCATTCATGCTCGAAGGAGAACCTCGCTACGGCCTCATGGCCTTGGCCAACCACGGTAAGTAGTGGTGTCTAGCTAGATTCAATATTTTGAACCATGCTTGACGAGTAGCCTTTCTACTGCCTTATGACCCTGGATAGTTGCGGCTGCTGGTGGCGTCTGGCCGTTCTTATCGGCCTTGTTGATAGCTGCGCCATGCTTGATGAGCAGCTCCACTACTGCTTTATGGCCTCTGCTAGCTGCACTTATAAGCGGTGTCTCGCCGTCGTTATTATACTTCCATCTTAATAGATGCGCCATTCTCGATAAGTAGCTTCACTACTGCCTCATGGCCTTGACTAGCTGCAATGAAGAGCGATGTCCGGCCATCATTATCATTATGGTCGATATTGGCGACATGTTCGATAAGCAGGCTCATCATCGCCTCGTGGCCTCTGTTAGCCGCGGCGAGCAGCGGCGTCCAGCCGCTGTTGTGAAGGTTAATATCGGCGCCATGCTCGACGAGCAACCTCACTACCGCCTCACTGCCTTGGCCAACCGCGGCCCATAGCGGCATCCAGACACTGTTATTGGAGTCGACAGCGGCTCCATGTTCGACGAGCAGCTGTCTGGTCACCACATTGTCTTTGCCGCGCGAAGTTATCAGCAACGGTGTTTCTCTCTTGGGTGACAGTTCGCAACCGAGAGGGTCAAAATCAAGATCGCAAGAATTGACAGGTTCACAACCAGTTTCAACTCTGGCGCCATGGCCGATGAGCAGCCTCGCTACGGCCTCGTGGCCTTGGCTAACCGCAGCAAAGAGCGGCGTCCAGAACCCTTCCTTAATGGTAGGGTTAATTGTGGCGCCATGGTCAATGAGTACCCTTGCCACCGCCTCTTGGCCTCTGTAAGCCGGAGTGAATAACGGTGTCTCGATGTTGCCCTTAGGATTGATAGCGGCGCCACGCTCGACGAGCAGCCTCGCTACTGCCTCGTGGCCTTGGGCAGCCGCAGCCCACAGCGGCGTCCGGCCGTCACTGGATTCTGCATCTATCTCGGCCTCTGCTATCTCTCCTATAAGTTCGTCAAGACCTAGGTAGGCTAGAAGATGCAAAGCAACTATGTCTCGTGTCAGTTTTTGGCTGTACCCTTCCCATTTAAACGGCCTTTCCCCGATGGACAATGTCTGGAAAGATCCCTGGATATGCGCGGTTTGCTTTAGTAATAGCAATGCATGGTCAAATTGCTTCGAATTTCGGGTATGCTGGCCCCAGTAATGAGCTGCATAGCTGAATAATGGATAGTTCTGTATACGTTCTTCATACTCTTGATCGGTCGCGCAGTACCCTGACGTAAAGGCATCAAAACATTGGTAGGTAATGCAGATACGGGCAATACTACTCTCAGCATTTGGCGAGAACTCCGCTCGCTTACTTTCCAAAAAGGTCTGGGCTGTCGAATGGACCAACTTCACGATTTGACTGGTTTGATGGATATTGACAAGCCCAGCACAGAACGAGACCACATCGTGGATATCTGGGATGTCACCTTTATCTATAGCTTTTGCACCGGGCTCGACAGCAAGTGCATGCTCGAGTTCGGAAACGGACAGCTCTCTTTTCGCAAGACAAATCCAAGAAAGTAGTTTCTTGGCATATGTCAGCCTGTCGCTCTTCTGTGACTCAATCCGTTCAATGGCAGCCTCGTAGGCCTCGGAATAGACGTCTGGGTTTGTCCCAAAGGCGCTTGTGGCATCTTTGACGCTATTCGAGGTTACCTTGTCTTGAATAGCGTCCATGTAGAGTTTTGCGAGCAAGAACCTGTACTGGTGAGCCTCAGCATGGTTAGGATTACTGAGGATATACTTACATCCCATTGACGATACCCTGAATCTTATCCTTAATGGCCCTTTGAAGGTCGATGTCCTGCTGTACAAAGCTAGAAAACCTTGATATTCGATAATCAAGGTACGCTTGAATATCCTCACCGCGGGCGTGCAATTGGACCAATGCACTGTCTTTAAAGGATGGCATTTTTCGGACTTTAGGGAGAGGTCTTGAGGTTACAAACACATTGACTGCGTAAGATTCTTGTAGCCCTCGAATCTCCTGCAGATACCTACTTCGGCACTCATCAGGCCCGAGGCATTCATCTAAGGCATCAATAACGATGAAAACTCTAGGATAGGATGCAACTGTTGACCTGAGAAGCCGGCGGATTTCTTCTAGTGTAAGTTGTGTTTGTCTGGCGTTGTGCCTATTGTATAGGGACTTTACGGCCTCTGGAAGAGGGGTTCGGGTTTGAAGCAGCTGCCGTACCATGGTTTTGAGTAGATTCTCAACAGTCTGAGTCTCCTCCCTTTTATAGTTGCAATAAATATAAGCTATGCCGTTTTCATTCTGGGGTCTGTCAAGATCATCCACGATAACAGATGCAATGATGGTCTTGCCGGCTCCGGGCATTCCCTCACAATAGAGCGTTTTCCCGCTGTTGCTTACCCAGTCATGGTACTCCTTAGTTTTGAGAAGCCACTCGCTGGTTTTCGGAAGCCGCTTGTTGCGAATATCGCTGTGCTCATTGCCGTAGGTTATGTCGGTAATCCAGTCGAGGATTTTTCGCTCAATCTGACTCACTTGATTGGCACCGACTTGAGTCATTACATCCTTTATTTCTGATATGTCTTTTTAGCCACGTTAGTTACTTTCTAATCTGATCATAAGGTGTGAGGCAACTGTCAGATTCGAGATGTTGAAAGGTAGGTATGTAGTGATATATTTGAAAGAGCGGAAGCTAGCGAAATATTCGCGTAAGGGTGCTCAATTATCAAGACGAACCTTGAGCCATAGACTGTATCAGAGGAGCCTCAGCATCGATCTTATTTGGTGCGATGATACTGAGAAGTTCCTTCGCGTAGGCAGCTGCCGCCATGGATGCGTAGCCCTGCCATTGCTTGGACTTATGCGTGTCGCAGTAGTCGGAAATACCGCGAATGACAAGACAAGGAAAATGATTCATGAGACCTGCAGCTTCCATTTCAAAGCATAAGATCTCCCTCTCTAGTGCCAGCTTGTCTCGGAGCTGTGCATCCTTTAATAATTGGTTTCCAGATGCGATCAATCCGTAATGGATGGTTGGATCATCATCTTCTTCAGCTCGTTCTGTCCGAGAGATCAAGTTGCCGCTGTCATCGCCGCAGACCACCATACAACTGTCATTATCACTCCCCGCATGAGTAAAAGAAGACTCGTAGAGCCTGTCAGTACTCCTGTCAGGTTGTTTGTACTTTGCTCGGAGCCTTTTATTGTTCTGGAAGATTGCTTCAATGGCGTCTTGGATTTGATGACCTTTTCTTTCGTGCTTCGTCCGCAGCGCCTGTATTGCGTTCAAAAGAATCATGGGAGGTTGGTTCAAGAACCCAGTCGTAGCAAGGTCCTCGTCTTGTTTCTTCTTTCCATAGTCGTGTTGGAACACGCCGCCGCTACTGAGGCCTGCGGAACTGACAACGACATCACCCAACCGTATATCATGGGTGGCACTGGGCACCCCGCCGCCTACGCCCACCAGCAGGCCGATTTTGATATTCGGGAAACTGTGAACCATGTCCCTGGCGACGCTGGCTGCGTTTACGAGCCCGTATTGTTTATGCGGCAGGGCAGCGATCACGACATTGTGCTTCCCGATCCGACCCAGGGTATAAATATTGTTATCATTTTGTTGCACTGATTCTGGTCCCTCGTGCTCTTCGTCGAGAAATTCTTGGGCAGCGGCGTTCTCAGTATGCGTTGCACAGATCCATCCAACGGTATACTCTTCGCAATTCGGTATCGTGGACGCTACGGCTGGGGAGCGGTAGCGTCAATAGGATCGAACTGGGTGGGAGATAGGCTGGAGAAGTCTCGTTGGAAAATACAGGTGTTCGATACAGGTAACTGGCATAAGCAAAGGTAGAAGATTAGATGGGAAGTGTACCCAGTTGGTAGGGTTAAGGTACAATATGAAAGAATAATCTTGGTGTATCAGGCGGGACTGCCAGATTGCTGTGCTGGTATTTCAGAACGGCAGGAAATGTTGGAGGGAACAAAATTGTGTATAGAACATGCCTTCTACCCCAGAGTCTGAAGGCGACTCCGCGGTACAGCACATCTGGTTGGGCTGCATTCACCTGGCTGGGCTGAAAGTGCGGCTGACGGCGAGGCTGCATGAGGGGTACTTACGGAATGGCTTGTGAGGATAGATGGCATCGAGTATCTTGTCTTCCCGTATGAATTATCCACCTTCGAGGTAATTTATACCATAATAAAATATATCCTTGAGATAGCCGCTTGTATCCATCTTGGGAATAGCAAACCTCCTGACGATCTACAATGGACAATGCACTTGCCAAAAGGAACAGGAACACTAGGTAATGGTCTGAGAGTATCTCGCCTGAGTTAACTGGAAAACCTACAATAGAAATAAGAAGAAGAAAAAGACAGAACACGGTATCAGTGAATGACAATAAAGAAGTTGAAATATCAAATATGAAGCTATCCCGTATTTGACGATGGGTGTTTAGGGGCTTGGCAGAAGAAAGGTATTCAACTTCCCCATTTCAACGAGAGCATGATTGAGCGGCGGCAACGGAAGTATCCCTTTCGTTCTCAGGTGATTCCGTACTTGATTGGTACTATACATACCTAACTTGGGTACGAGATGCGTCAACATAGCTTCGATAGGCGCAACTTTCGGCGCTACGAGTCATTGCTTTTGGAGTATATTGATAGTTTTAATTTCAAATAACCTTGAAGATATCATTTACAATCAACCGTTCATGGCAACGATTGTCGTGTGGTAGAGGCGCTTGGAATGCCAGGGAGCATGGTCCTTCCTAGGCTGCGTAGGCTGTTGGTCAAGAGAATTACATATTGCAATCATGATGTTATTGAGAGATGTTGTTCCACTGTCGTCTCCATTTAAATTCATCATCACTTGTTCGCCATGCGAACTTGTTTTCTTGGCTGGCATCATACCTAAGATTCTCTTCCTCCTATATGGAGGCAAAGTTTATTATGCACGCATTCCACATCTTACATTGCTATCAAGACGATAAGATGTACACGCGTCTGTGGTGTGATATGATCGCCTTCATCATTAACTCCGGATGCCATATCGGCACATGAAAACAAGCTTAAATCCGGATCTCCGCCCAGAACAAATAACCACGGGCAGGGGGATAGCTTATTACTTAAAAACGTTAAAACCGTAAATTCGCGAGAAAAAGGCTGAGGCGCCGCGCGGCTGGAGACTAGGATGAGATGAATTAAGATCAGCGGTTTGAGCAGTGTCAGAAGCTTGACCGTTGGAGTAAGCAGGCTGTAAGCAATTGAACAAGTCTGTGGGAGACACTGTAGGTAGGGGCAGACACTGTAGGGGCGGCCGCTAGCGTCAGACGCATCGCAGCATCATCAACGTGCCCTCGACCAGCATCCTTAATCCCATTAAGCTCAAGTCACTTTTGAATCAGGCTCATGCGGGGAAGCTTACTGGAACCCTAGACCGCTAGGGCACTCTTCTTCCAGCAATTTATTCGAACATGGGCCTCTTCGACCCATGCCCCCATCACCGAAGCCGTTTAGTCGAGGTGGCTGAGCCCGCCCAGGACGCGTGGTCTTGGGCAGATCTACTCTTCCTGGGCGAATGATCCTCGGCCTTAACCCTCCCTCCCGGTTCGAGGCTCCACTGTTCGATCTGAACGTGTCGGCATCACTCGCGGTCGGATGGCGGGTGTCATGGACTTTAGTAACGCGAGGCCGCTCGCCATTGGGCGGAGTTAGGCCTTACTCTTACTGGCGCACACGATGCATGGTTGAGCGTGGCATCTGGGTCGTCTCATGCACGAGAGGCGCTTTCGGGGCTGTGCTAAGTGGACAGGGAAGCGGCCGTCTCGTATGTCAACCAGCCTTTCTCTGGGTCTGACTCTGTGGTTTCCAGTCCGTTGCCCTGTGGGATAATGATTACCAAGCTCTTAGAATCTTATCTGTCTGGCCGTGAGCCTTCGTCATGCTCCATGGCGCAGCCAGCCGAAACTGAATACTGGGAGGGCTGCTAGCTTTGACCCACAGATGAATGGATGGTGATGGCCTTATTTGTATATTTTCTCCTCTGGCCGATGGGATACAAGATGGGGGCGACAGATCCTCATCCGGATCTCCCTATCTTGTTTGGTGCCGCCCATCTCCTTCAATCGGGACGTTGCAGTCGAGGTTGCAGCTAGAGGTGAACCGATGATGTATTCTTCTCATGTGCTTCGCATATGGCTACTCGCTGTGGCATTAATAGCGAATACGTACGGTTTGTATTGTCCTTTCCTCAGATGTCCCTCCCATTCGTCAATTTGGAGATATAAAAGAAGAGGCCGCTGACTGATGTCATGTATTTTGTTGTGATATATAGCCCTTTCTTTAAAGAGAAGCACACCCAGTGACCTTTTCTACCTCGAGGACTTGGTGTTTTCGTCACCGCCAGGGTCTGACAGCGCCGCCAAGGAGCTCGATGCCTCCTTCACATTGCAAGGGGACTACCAAGGAACCATCAGATTAAGTTTGCATCGTAACGATGGAATCTTTCACCAGCCAGTATCGGTCAACTATGTGCGATCCGACGGGACATCTCACTCCTTCGAAGAAATAGCTCGAGGAAGCCATCTGGCGTTCCAAGGCACGGCTCATGTTCGAGACAACTATGCGAAAGGTCATCATGATATACAGAGGAGGGCTGGATGGGCAAGAATGAGCTTCTACATCAAGGACGGAGTGCAACTGGGTGAAGGATCGTTCACTGTCGATGATGTCAAATACCATGTGCAGACCGACTACAACTACCGCAGCACCTGGTTTCCTGGCGAGCCGGAAGCCCCTGAATCAGAGAAGCCTTACATGGTTGTGTGGAGAGACGCTTTCCCTTCTCAAGATGGCAGCGCCCAAGAGCTGGAAAAGCGTGCGTCGGATAATGAGTCGGGCTGCGCGTTTGACAGCCTTGATTTCAACCACCCCGAATTCGCCTCCACGCGAGAGCTTGACTATGGTATGGGAAGCCTCGACGAGCGCCAGTTCAGTTCCGGAGGTCTCGATAACCTTGACCTTACCAGTGTTATTGGTTCTACGAGTGGCTGTCCTAGTACCAGACTGATCGCTCTCGTTGGTATCGCTACCGACTGTGGTTACACATCCCAGTTCTCCTCCAGCGATGACCTCCGCCAACATGTGCTGGCACAAATAAACACAGCATCCCAGATTTACGAGGATAGTTTCAATATCTCCCTCAGGGTCCGGAACCTGACGATTAGCGAGCGTGACTGCCCCTCGACTACATCGACATCCACCCCCTGGAATGTCCAGTGCAGCTCGACCACCAGCATCGGAGACCGCCTTCAGTCCTTCTCCACGTGGAGGTCACAGTCCAGCGACGGAGTGAACGCGGTTTGGACGTTGCTCACTTCCTGCAACTCGGCCTCGACTGTTGGTATCGCTTGGATGGGGACTGTTTGCAACGACTCGGGCCGGAGAAGATCAACCCCCTCCGCCAATGTGGTTGTGAGAACACCGGCCGAGTGGCAGGTGATTGCTCACGAGATAGGGCATAATTTCGGCGCCGTTCATGACTGCACCAGTGGTTGTTCAGGCAGTACTGCCAACGGTGGTGATCGTTGCTGTCCGTTCAGCCAGAGTAGCTGTGACGCCACCGGACAGTATATAATGAATCCAACCTCGAGCCGGGCGATGAGCGTATTCTCCCCTTGCACCATTGGTACCATCTGTACCGCAATCGGACGAAACCTCATCCAGACAAGCTGTCTTCGCGGGAACGATGACGTGCCTACTATATCCGAGGGAGTCTGCGGAAACGGCATCGTCGAGACAGGAGAGGAGTGCGACTGCGGCGGCGAACAGGGCTGCCAGGGGAACAGCTGCTGCAACCCAACCACATGCAGATTCACAAGCGGCTCAGTCTGCGACCCATCAAATGATAAATGCTGCACAGATCAGTGCGCCCTCGCCAGCCAGGGCACAGTATGCAGGACCAGCTCCGGAGAGTGCGACCCGGAAGAAACCTGCGACGGCTCCACCGCCAGTTGCCCGGAGGATACACACGCCGATGATGGAGACTCCTGTGGAAACGATGCCGATGGGACAACGTGTGCCTCTGGCCAATGCACGTCCCGGAGCTGGCAATGCGGCATTGCTCTGTTCAACTCGACGAGCAGCAACTCGCAAGCCTGTAACTCGAATAGCTGCGAACTCGACTGCTTTAGCTCCGGAAATACAGGAACCTGCAACAGCACGGGCATGTACTTCTTGGATGGCACCTCATGTGGGAATGGTCGTTTCTGCTATAGCGGCGACTGTTCGAGGAGCAGAGGTGATGATAGCAGCTCCGGCGGCAGCGGCGGGAACAGTGCCATGGATTGGATCAACAATAACCGGACACTCTTCATCGTCATATGCTCGGTAGGCGGAGTGCTGGTGATAGTCGCCTTCATCGCCTGCTGCTACTGCATGTGCCGCAGGTCAAGGAAGAGAACGAGTGCTCCGGTGCGGGCGCCGCCAATGTCGAGCAACTCGCGCGGATCTGCACTGGTCAACAGAGCGGTGAACCGGCCACCGCCGGCGTACCAGACGTCGCTCTACAATCAAGGCCAGCGTTATGCCTAACATGTTTGAAATGAATGGGTTCGATTGGCGTTTCTAATGGACATTTTGCATATAATGCAACTGATGATATATTGAATACAAAATTACTATATACAAGATGATAAAGCCTTGTATCTCTCTCAATGAACATATGATTACAATAGTAAATGATAGTTTTTGTTCATACTACCTTCTTCTCTTCACCATATTGTGAAGCACTCAGCTTGATCAATACAGTGTTGGAGGCTGTGAATACCTAAAAGCTCAGCGAATAACAACTGGGCATCTGTTTCATAAGTCAGCCCGCTCCTGCACAGCCTGAAGAGAGGATCATTCTCATGTTACTCCACTTGGAGAGTTCATCATCCAAGTCGGTCTGAAGCTCATCTCATTGTGGAGAGGTGATATCCGGCGGATCCGTCAACATGCTAGAGATCTCAACCACCCTGATGCACCTGGGGTTGGCCTGCGTACGGGTTAGATGACTCAGCTAACCTGTGTACGGGCTAGATGACTCAGCTAACCTGTGCACAGGCTAGATGACTCAGCTGTGCTTGTCCGGATTATCTCAACCCTCGCTTTGTGGGGATTCGGATTTTCTGACCCTTACCTTGTGGAGGCTCGGAATATCACGACCCTAGCCTCGTCAAGCCTCATGGCTTTCGAAGTTGGCCTTGTCAAGGTTGATGTTCCTTGAGAATGATAATTGATGAGTGTAGACTGAGCCTATAAAAGGCCCAGGTTTCCGCCGGTTTAGAGAAATGCCTCGCTGTAAATATCGATAGCTCACCTGCACTGGTAACAACCCAAACATGGAGATCGACCGCAGCCTCTATATTGAAGGTACGCTTCACCGTGCCACAAGTGGTAACCTTTCTGTTCCACGCTTCTTCGGGAAGATTGCTCTGGAAGAGGCAGTTGGGTCAACTCTTTGGGATGCGTATGGCACTCTTCCTGCCACCCAGGAGATAGCTGGCACCAATGGCCTGGCTGTGAGCCTGGTGAGTTTATACACATCATCATTGTTGTAGTGAGAGACCTAACATGTTGATCTTAGGACTTTGCTCAAGATATAGCATCCCGGCTCAATGATGTTCCCAAACGACTGGATTCAATGGATCAAAGTGGTATTGGATACGTCATCGTATCTCTCACTTCGCCAGGTATCGAGGGAGTGTTCGACAAAGCCAACGCTACGGACCTTGCTACCAAGGTGAACGACGAGATCTATGCCAATTATGTCCAGCCATATCCGGACCGCTTCGGCTTTTTCGCCGCTGTGGCCATGCAAGATCCCGCAGCTGCTGCCAAGGAGCTTGAGCGTGCTGTGAAGGACCTGGGCGCCAAGGGAGCGCTGATCAACGGCTACAGCAACATCGGGAGCCCTGCAAATTATACTATCCAGTATCTCGATGATGAGGCTTGCGAGCCATTTTGGGCCAAGGTGGCGGAGCTCAATGTGCCGGTGTACCTGCATCCACGAACGCCGCCAGTAGACCAGCAGGTTATCTATGGAAATGGGAAATACCCCCTCCTGGCCCAGGCCGCCTACGGTTTCGGGGTAGAGACGGGAGGGCACGCGCTGCGGCTGATGGTATCGGGGCTCTTCGACCGGTACCCAAGTATCCAGATCTTCCTTGGCCACGCTGCCGAGGCGCTTCCTTTTCTTGTTCACCGGACCGACAATAGGCTCTCGACAGGTAAGAGCGGATCCGACGGGCCTTACAAGAAGTCCATGAAGTACTACCTGCGGAACAATTTCTATGCCACCCTTTCCGGGATCCGACGGCTGAGCACGGTTCTGAATACGATTGAGGAGATGGGAGAGGACCGTGTCATGTTCTCCGTGGACTATCCGTATGAGTCGGACGAGGATGCCAGCGATTGGTTTGATTATGTTGAGGGTCTCAGCTCTGCTACGAAGGAGAAGCTCGCTTGGAAGAATGCCGTGCGGGTTTTGAATATTACAGCAGGCCTGGAGTCTTACCAGACGGATAGTGAATTCCTTTGAATGAGACTCAAAGATGAATGGTAGTAGCAAAGGTCAGTTTACTAGATGGGGGTGGTGTGTGTGGATGGCCTTGGCTTTGTATAAGTTGGGAAATCAAGACATGGGCAAGAAGTGGTACATGAGGTTGTTATTCTCTCATACGCTGGATATGATATCTTGAATTTTCCACTTAATTGAGCCTTCTGTATGAAGCATGGTCATCTGTGATTGCATTGAGCCTCTAGCAAAGGCTTCTAGGCGAGTTATGACTGAGGAACGGTGACTTGACAGAGAGCCCTCCCGCATTAGAGGTACTTAGACAATCTAGCGTGTTGTGGAACGTGGACCCTTGAAAAAAACAGTGAAATACTATAAAACTCTGGGGCACGGCAATTGCTAGATACTGTACTGAGCAATTCAAGATTTCACGCTGGGTTTCCGCATTTTAGGAGCCAGTCCAGGCTGTGGATGGATGGGACCGGCCGTATGTTGGTTGGCGCGCTTGGCTGGAATGATCATTGAATAAAAAGGATCTGCTGCTTCCAGATAAACTTCGGTGATTTATGATTCATACCTTAGTTTCCGACTCGGGCGCTGGCAGAGGTGATCGAGTCGGGAGTCGGTGGTTGGTGGAAGGTGTTCGGATTCCTCAGGGAATCGCCATTTCTTAAAAATCCGGCACTCGGGAAGGTGGAGCCTCCCCGAAACTCGGCTCTTGCCAGTTTTTCGGGGTCGTCCAGCGATGGGGCCATTCCGCTTGGGGCATAGCGCCCATGGCGTGATCCTCATCTTGAATCAACAATTTCTTGTCCGGCAACAGGCAAAATGGCTAAGCACGCAAAAGTCATGAAGCCGTTGCGCCAGAGCCGTCGGCAACGCTCCACGATGGGTCCTGATTGTTGTAGATCCGCTTGTGGCCCCCGGCGGGTTGGCAATTCTGCTTTTTTTCTTCTTCATCTTCTCCTCGGCACCAGCGAACCCCGTGGTTGATCACCCTTGCCCCGGACCTCGAGTCTTAATATATTTATATCAGTTTCAGGGGCAATCAACAGTGTCACCCTTAACTGGTCGTCTGCCATTCTCTCGACTCGATCTGGTAGTTGAACGATCCCACGACCCGGCTGCCAATACCCCGCGATTCGATCCACGATGGGAAAGCAATCGTCCACCCTTCCCTTTGGGCAAAACGTCCAATTGTCGGCCATCTCTGGCCCGACATATGTGACTGCCCAACTCCTTGTCCAGCAGATCGCATACCAGCTCTCCGACAAAGTCTTTTCCTACTCCCCGGAGACTTTCGACCTCGACTTGGCTCTGAAAGAATGGGCCGCCAGCGCCGAGAAGAATATCTACAACTATGAGCCTTCTGTGCTCTCGCTTCAGTCTAGAACTGGAGCCGGCGCACTGGCTCTCGGATACATCTTCTCTCCCGACTTCGATGTTACAAAGCGACACATTCCCCAGACTCTTATTGCTGCCTCCGGCAACCTGAACCAGCTTCGGGCTTCTCTGGATCAGCTCTCTCTCCTTTACGGAGTCTCCAGCCCATTTGTTGCCCACATTGCTGCCGCAGACTACTCCGCAGACGCTGGCCTCGTCGCGAACTACGATGTTGCTCTCAGATTGGCTGAAGACTTGGGTCTTGGTCTTGTTGCCAGCTCTTCCACCTATGAGGCCCAGCACATGTCGCTCTTCTCGACACTTCTGGCTTCCCTGATTCCCACTCTCCATATCTATGATGGTGTTCGTGTTTCTCGGGAGACTCTCCGTGTCGTTGATGCTTTGGGCGAGACTGGGGTTGCGGATCTGTACAACAAGCTTTCTGCCGAAGCCCTCAACCTGAACAAGCGATTGGACAATGCCGGTAAGGTCGTCGAGCTCCTCAAGCTCTTCAACGATGAGCTCGGAACCGTCTATGAGCCATTCGAGTACCACGGCCACCAGGAGCCCGATGTGGTTGTTGTTACCTTCGGCAGTGTTGAGTCCCAGACAGCCAAGCAGGTCTTGAGCAAGATCTCTGCCGAGGGTGCCAAGGCTGGTGTTGTCAATGTTCGAGTTTACCGACCGTTCATTGAGGAAGCGTTCTTGAATGTTATCCCCAAGTCTGCCCGCACCATTGCAGTTCTCGGACAGGTTCAGACCACCGCTGCTGCAACAGATGAGGCTACCCAATCGGCTCTTTACGCTGACGTCTTGACTGCCGTTACTTTCTCTGGAAAGTTTGATGAGGATCCCCTCGTTCTCGACGTCAAGTACACCCCCTCTCAGCCTATTACTCCTCAGGGCATTGTGGATACCCTTCACAGGATCTTCAACAACGACGGCGAGGCCAATCTGCTGCCTTCCATCATCAGCGCTCAACAGTACACCTTCTGGGATGTTGACAACTCAGCCTCCGTCGACTCCCCCAGTGTCATTGGCAACGTTCTTTCCAAGGACTCAAAGACCAATGTCTTCGTTTATGAAGCATATGACAACCTTGCTCAAGGTGGTCTGGTCCGTGCTGATATCCGGGCTTCCAGCAAGGCTCTGGAAGCCCCTTACGAAGTGCGAGACGCCAACCTAGTCGTTGTTGGTAACGATGCCGTTCTCAAGGAGGTTGATGTTGTCAGAGGACTTGCTCAGGAGGGTACCCTCATCCTGAAGCTCACTAACTTCAAGGAAGATGAGGTCGAGAAGCGAATCCCTGTCTCCGTCCGCAAAGCCCTCCAGGAGAAGGCAGCCAACCTTCTTGTGCTGGATGCATCCTACTCACCTGCCTTTGAGAAGGATGAGGCGGCCAAGGTTTTGCTGGAACTTGCTTTCCTGCAAACCGCCCGACCTGATCTCCCCGCAAGTGACATCGGCAAATTGATCCTGTCAGAAGGCCACTCCACTACTCTGGACGAGGTCGTTGATGCCATCGGCCAGTGCTTGCGCAAGATTGAGATTCCCGCTGCCTGGGCTGAGGTGGATGCTGACTACGCCGATCCCCAGCTGGGAGCTTCGATCCAGCCTAACAGCTTCGTCTCTTTCCAGAAGGAAGAGCCCGAGGAGGCTCTTGAGCTTCGTGACTGGCAGGCTGCTGCCAAGGGCTTGGCTTTTAAGGAGGCATTCAATGCCGAGACCAAGCTGCGCCCCGACCTTCCTGTGCAGACTTCCACCATTCGTGTCAAGGAGAACCGAAGGCTCACACCCTCGGACTACAACCGAAACATTTTCCACATCGAGTTCGATCTGGGCGATTCTGGTCTTACCTACAAGATTGGCGAGGCTCTGGGTATCCACGCCGAGAACGACGAGGAAGAGGTCAATGCATTCATTGAGTTCTACGGCCTCAACCCCAATGAGCTTGTGCGAGTTCCTTCTCGTGAGGACGCTTCTGCCCTTGAAGTCCGCACGGTCTTCCAGGCCCTCAAGCAGAACGTTGATATCCTCGGAAAGCCCCCAAAGAGGTTCTACGAAGCTCTAGCCGAGTTTGCTACCGATGAGACTGAGAAGAAGAAGCTGGAGGCTCTTGGTGGCCCGGAGGGCGCTGAGGACTTTAAGCGCCGCAGCGAGGTTGACACCCTTACCTTTGTCGACATTTTGGAGGAGTTCCGTTCTGCACACCCTAGCTTCAACGACCTCGCCAAGATTGTTAGCCCTCTTAAGCGTCGCGAGTACTCGATTGCCTCTGCTCAAGCTGTCACTCCCAACGCTGTTTCCCTCATGATTGTCGTTGTTGA